TATTTCTTTATTTTGTATGACATGTGTTGGTTTTCCTTTTTCTCGCTTGCAGGCTGCTGGGATTTATTTGGTGGAGTCTGTGTACTTATTGAAGTTTTGGTGGCTATAGTACGTGTTGATTTGACGACACTGACATATGATTTGTTTGATTGAGACTTTATGCTTTGAACTAGTCTTCTGGCTTCGGCATATGAAATGTTCCTAGAAACTTTTATGGTCTGAACATTCCTTTTCTAATTTCCATTTCGGACAGGAACGAGGAAAATGCTGGATGGTCGCACACTTGCAAATTTAATACACAGTGCTGCAGCTGTGCAATTATCGCTATCATGGCCAACCGACGAGCATCGAGCGCACGTCAGGTTGTCCCACGACAGGACATTCGGAATGGCCAAAACGCTGGCACTGGAAGCATCGTATGGGTTTTGGAATGTAAGATCGTTACAGGGGCAATTTAGATATCCAGCCTTAATATTCTTCAGGCAGATCAGAAAAATTTGAAGGTCAGGATCACGTGTTTGGTGTCAATCAACTGACCTTCCTTACGCATCTTGATCCGCCTAGCGCCACAGACATTTTGGTCAGCTAACTCGGAAACGAACTCTTCTTCTGAAAACAGAGAGAAGGTCGATTTCCGAGATAACACCTCTACAAAATTCAGAGTTTTATGCGCTGACACCAGTTATAGCTACATTTCCAAGTTTGGTTTGTGTGACAAAAGGGAAGCAGATTGTGTTGGCGAAACAGTATCTATAAGCAGGTCTCCAGAACGGAGACGCTTATATTCTTTGGCTGACCTATGCATGAGTTAATGTATTTGCTTTACTAGAAAAGGAGAGACATCTTTTGCAGTTCACCAGAAGGACAAGAGACAACTAGGAAGCGCGGATTTCAGTAGTTTCCTTTGCTTTACATCAGTACGGGTTTTCTTACTAACAGGTTTCTCAATTATTTCTATATCTTGTTTAATTTCGTTTGGGTCAGGTTTTTTTTAGTATGAAAATGAAAGCCATGTTTAAAAGAGAAAAATTCGGGTCCGACGGCCCCGCCCACCACCGAGCCCTACAAGGGAAACACAGATTCCTGTGTTAGGGCTTAGCCGGACCTATACGCAAACTGAAGCCCCCACAGTCGGCTTTCCCGAAAGCAGGTACTCCCGAGAGGAACTTGACCCCAAGCCACTGACACAAGGACTAGTGACCAGCCGATTGACACCCGTGAGGACGACTAAGGTGCCTCCCGTTTAGCTGAAGCAGAGGCCAAGTAGTGTGTTGGGGGACAGTACCTCGGCCCCTCAACTACCAGGACCCTCCTTTCCAGCGACACGGGTCTCCACGCACGGCAAAACACGTGGGCAGTTTTCTCGCCACTCGAAAACTAGAAACAAGGTCTGTTTTCCAGCCTCTCGTGACGAGCCCCAAACTCCGTAGAGAGAAACCACAAGGGAGAAGGGAAGGGAAAAAGTTCCAGCCAAGAGGAGAGGAGACGGAAAAGAGGATAGATCACTGGGGCTCCAGGATCGTGACACCCGTCTCACCAAGAAGATGATCCCCTGAAGGGCTAGGGTACCTCGGGATTGCCACACCCGTACTCACAAAAGTGAGCCCCTGAGGGCTGTCTGTTTATAGAATTAAAGAGAAAGTATAAGCACAAAAAGCGAAGCAACTTAAACAACTTACATTGAAAGAGATGTTTAATAAAGTAAACAAATAAATATTAAGCTTTTATTTATTTATTTTTTTTTGTGTAAATTTTGATACCTTTTAGATCAGAATTGCTCTTTATTTCATAAATTACGGTTTCATATTTTTAATTGTATAATTTCTGCATGCCATCTTACCAGATTTAAATTGATGATCGATATAATCCGGAATCGCCAAAGTCCTGACGAGTCCGCATTACGGACTTTGTACTGTACTTAGACTTTCCTGGACATATTGCATATTTTATTTAAAGTAATTCTGAACAGTCTGAACTTTTTTCACTCGTTCTATACGAAGCAATTATTCCACAGAACCATGGGATCATCATTAAATTTATTGATGTGGGCCTTTAGAAATAAATAGGCAAAGTGACTTGAAACAACAAAATATTTTTTTTAATTGTTGCACCTTCGGTATTATAATAAAATGAATAAAATATTCCCTTTAAATACATATGTAGTTATTCTCGCCTATACATAATTGTTGAAACTCAGATAAAGGTTTGTTAACTTTAATGAACTGAAATGTTTCATACTTTTATCATTTGGCATTTAAAGGAATGCTGTAAAAGCTTTGGTTTGAGTTGCAAACTCTGTAATCAGTTGCAATGTTTTACTACAATATGTCATTTTTCACCTCACGGTAGCTTCAAACCAGGGTTACATTTTGCTGATATTTCGATAGCTGCAACTGGAGTGATGTAATATTTAGGAAAAAATAAATGGCTGATGTTTACATAGGTAAACATCAGCCATTTTTTTCTCAAATATTATAGGTATGCAATAAATACCTCAATACTAAAAGCTATACAAAAGATAAAAAATTTCCATTTGTTTGAACAGCATTGACTACTCATTTAGCATAAAATGAATTTTGATTCGCATAATCCAACAATGAATTTTGTCAACCAAAATTTGTATTGTACTAAATTGCAATAGTACAGTAGCTTTTAGGAAATTCCAGACGCAGTTTTGCTGTTAAAAAGATTAATAAAGAGATTAAGACATTATTTATAGCAGGTCATGGCAGAGAATAACAAAATACATAACATAAGAAGAGCATAAAGCAGGTACCCACATTGAAAGTTTTTTTACACCTCTCTGGTATCGGTCGCGGACACTTAGCCGACGGGACACTTAACCGACACCAGTTAGCCGACAAGGTTTTACTGTGCAATAAATACCCGAGTTGCCTTATTCTCAACAAAGACCCGTCCCTTACAATACTGAAATAGTAGAAAATTCCTAAAAAATTTGGCTATATATCTTATACAGCATCTCACATAGAGATAACAAAAAATATGTCAATGCTTCCTAAAGTGCTTCGTGAAAGCATCGATAGTGTGACTTTTCTAGTGTATCAGAAGAACGCCCATCAAAGAAAACAAAACTCGACAAAGGGCGACATGCTATGTGTCCAAGATCCAAAGACAATAAAACTACAATTTCTTGCAAAATATGTGATAATTTTTCATGTAAAATTCATTCTTCCTATGTTTGCCAGAAGTGTATGCTAGCTTCTGACCCCTGATTAGGTAAATACAGTCAAAAGTCGTTAATTCGGACACCCATAATTCGGAATGATCTATAATCCGGACCTCAAAACTAAAAACTTTCTGCGCATGCACCGCGTTAACACATGCGCATAAGGCGTTTACGCGTGCGCGTAAGACCTTTTACGACTGCGCGCGCATATGAGTGTGCGCAAGTGTAGAATACGTTTTTGCGTGCGCGTTTTATGTATAATGGACGTATAAGCTAAAATTATCTAATTCAGTTAATGTTGGATTGCGTGGTTCCTTAATTTTCGAATTGGATCCGGCTTATTATTTTTTGCACACTGTAAGAGCAATTTTATAAAAGTAAGCTTAAACTTTCGATTTATCAAATAGAATTTCCGATATATATTGTTAATATGTAAAGCATCTAAAGCGAAAGTATGTTTGAAATCCGAAATCTGTTTATCAATTTCACGCTGCTCGGCGGGGGGGATCGCCGCGGCGGGCGCGTACAATGAATTGGAAGTTGATCTGTCAACACTATCCTTATCTTCAGCGCAGATGTTTTATTTTATTTGGCTTATAATTCCTTACCAAATGTAGTATTTCATCTCGATATGCTCCGTCTTTGATATGATTTAAAAACAAGTTCCTCGTCATTATAATTCGCTTTCGATAGCGAAGAAAGTGACAGAGGTTATTGAAAACGAAAAAATTTCGATTGACAAATTAATCGGTGTTCTAGACACAGCAATTATAGGACTTGAACAGCGGAACTTTGTAACTGAACAAGAAATTATGTCTGTTTAATAGAATTAAAGAGAAAGTATTATCACATGAAACGAAGCAAAACTTAAACAACTTACATTGAAAGAAATGTTTCATAAAGTAAACAAATAAATATTAAGCTTTTTCTTTTTGCAAATTTTGATACCCTTTAGATCATAATTGTTCTTTATTTCATAAATTACGTTTTCATATTTTTAATTTTAGAATTTCTGCATGCCATCTTACGAGATTTAAACTGATGATCTATAATCCGGAAAAATCGATAATCCGAAATCGCCGAAGTCCCGACGAGTCCGGATTAACGACTATTGACTGTACTTATTTTGAATAGAATTTTTTCTTAAATATTGAAATAAGTTTTTTTTTTAAGTAAATAAGTATAGTTTCTAAATGAAATATTGCAATTATTGTTTATAATCAAATGGTTTCTATAAAATATATAACATATTTTCCTAATGAAACTGATTGGGATGACGCAGTCACCCTGCGCAATCACCGTCAGTGTTGGTTGCACGTCTTTTACCAGGTTAAATATGTAAGTAGAACTTTTTTTTAACACATAAAATTTAAAAATAAATTGCTCAATTAACATTGTCTTTAGGACATTAAAAGTAAATTGCTCAATAACTTTCCAGTTACTGATAATTTATTATGGCTGATATTCATGAAGTTACACAGCATACTTGCAAAGGATAAAGAAAAAAAGTATCAAATTAATGAAATTAGTTTAAGCATAGTATAATATGTTTAGTCTACAAAATTTATTATTTTAGCAAGCTAATTTTAAAAGTATTGAACTTGAATTATAGCTGCATAAAACTCTCGTTTCTCAAAAAGATAAAAAACACAATTAATTAAACATTTTACATGCAGGTAATATAAATTTACAGTTGTTTGTTTCACTAAATGCAAAATAATATGCACTTTATATTACATTATATTGTAATATTGTAAATTTTTCCTAAATAATAAAATTTTGAGAATTGGAAGAGAAATATTTTTAAAATTTGTATGTTGATAATAATATGCATTTTATTTGTCATATGAAAATCTCAAAATAAAATGGAAAATAATAATAATTTGCTGGTGATATAGAAATTATGGTTCCGGTTTCTTCATACTGTTCCCATCAGGATACATTTTTCTAAAGACTTCAATCAGAGTTGGGTCAATTAAACGGACACCATTAACTTGATTTCCTAAAGTTATCCAGTTTGGTTGCACATTATGAGGGCGTCCAAAAAGTTCAATTTTACGAGTACCAGGAGAAAGCCTTTCTATAATACCATATATTTCATCAGGTTTATGGCTTGTAGCTCTTACTTCAGCAACTATAACATCACAATCAAGACCTCTATTTATGTCTTTAGGATTACCTTTAACACCAACTAAACAATGCTCTTTGCCATGATTCAGCCAGTGACCAGTTCGTCCAGTACGTATGATTCGCTGAAGTTGATTTGTTTTGACCCAAATAATTTCATCACACCTTTCATAACCCCACAATTGCAGGCATTCTCGGCCTAATTCCATAGCACGACCAGTAACCCATAAAAAAATGAGACCCTCATCTTGCAAGCTAGGAATATTTAAATGTCGCATTTCATCATCTAACATTGTTCCATAGGGTAGTTCCATGTGTATATCCCAGGGAGGGTCAGCCATGACAACAGCAAATTTTCCCAAAATAGTCATATCAAAATAGCGTAAATCAGATTGTATCCATTGTGGAGGAAATAACACTGGTTTATTACCATCATGAGATAACTTGGAATCACTTTTTTCATTTTTTTGAGATTTTGAAACCTGAGATACAGTTGAGTAATCAACTTCATAATGAACATATTTGCAAGTATCCATATGAAAGCATGTGTTCAAAAAAGAACAGTCTCCCAAGGATTCATCTGTGTGCTTTTGAATTATTTTCTTAAAATGCAATTTATCACAAGGTTGATTACCATCAGAAACTTTAGTACATTCTTCTTTTGTACCATGAGGACAAAATTCTTGTACTTGGGCTCCTCCTTGGGAGCGAAACTGTTCAACTAATGATCGCTCTTTTGCAGTAGGTTTACTAAGAAGTTCTAGAATTTCTTCACCTAGTTTCTTTGTTTCCTTTTCTCTGGCAGATGGTAAAGATAGTAGATTTTCAATTGTATCAGTATTTTTGTTACTTTTATTAATGTCTCTGCTCTTATTTACAATCTTAGTTTTAGGTTCTTCTTCTAGAGTTTCCTCTACTTTTCTTTTTTGAGCTCCATGTACCTTACTCAAAGTTGGATCTTCTAAGCAGAGATCATTGGCCATAGCTTGTAATTTAGTATGCTCAGCAGAGGAAACAACCAAACAGCTTTTACCTTCGGGTGTAAAACTTTCATTAATGGTTATGAGCTCTTGTGTTGCAAACTTCTGCAGTAAATTCTCCACCATAATATGTGGTACATCTTTGTTTAAAGATTTTACTATATTAGAAACTAAAATTCTAGAATCAGTTGGTAAGTTAATGGCATCACAAAGGCATAAAAGTAATTTGTATTCAACAACAGGATCAGATTTTATTTCAGGTACTGAATTGCTTTCTTCTTTAATAGCAGCATTCAATACTGGACTGTTACTTCTGGGACTGCCAGTACTTAATTCACTAGTTATACTTAAAACTAAGCCTTCTCTCTCTTTTTTGCGCCTCTGTAACCTTTCTCGCAGGCTACTTTGTCTTGATTTAAAAGCCTGTATATCACTCCATGTGTCAGACATGCTGAAAATAAAATTATATTTTTTTTTAAATATAAAATTTAAAATGAAAAATGGAATTGAAAATTTCACAAAACAAATGCCTTTATTCACATATTTCAGAGTATGCCAACATAAATCTAATGCATGTCTAGTATTTATAAAATACAAACTGTTTCCAACATTCTTATAATGAAATCAGATTTGCAAAACTTATGCTTAATAATTAATTTTTCATATGCTATAGTATACTCGATCCAAAAGTTTGGGGATCAGATCTATAGTTTCAAGTAAGTTACTAAAGCCATTACTGATGAAATATAACTGAACAGGTGAATTATTAGACACATTTAAATTGTGACCATGTAAATAATCACAACAGGAAGCAGTGATTTTCCAACTATCAACTGTCATTAGTGTCACACAGATCACATATGATAGATTTGATGGATATGCCAATGATTGTAATCAAGGGTAAAGGCAACAACTTAACCACTTCTCTACTCAATAAATTGCACAAAACAATTAAAAAATTAACTTTTTTTGGGGGGGGGGGGGGTTACAGAAACTGAAAAAAATAAAACTGCATTTTTAGATGGGGGGGGGGGAACAACAACCTGAAGAATTTTTTAGATGTCAAAAATAAAGTATATATAGAAAGAAAGATAAAAATTACTCTTATAATGCTGGTTTTTTGCACACATATAAGCATGATTAGTACGCTTATTTTATACAAAACACACCTGTTAAGTTTGCTTTTTACTACATCAGATAGTAATAAAAATTTTATCTTTATTGCAAACCTAAAAATTTTGGGTATAACTTAATGTTTCATCTTGGCATGGTCTATTTTAAAATAAGCAATATTACAGGGAAGATATTTTCTGGTATATTCTATAAGGAATGAATGGAAATTAAAACATGCAAATGGCAATAATATAACTGCAAAGCTATTTAAAAATTTTTAGTTAGTTAAGTATTTTTGGTTGATCTTTACATTATGGTAACTTGGCGATTTTTTGGCGAAAATTTGGCAACCAACTCTCCTACAGCAAACCTCTATTTTTTTTTCCCCGCCGCCATTTTGTCTTCACGAAGTAAAGACATGTTTCTTTTCTTTTTATCTACTGAACACTTCTTCCAACAATCTACTAGCCGAATTACACTTATGCTAGAAATTTTATCAAAACAAAACTGCTTAATCATGACAAATATTCACTGCAAAATTGGGAAAAAGTGCACAATACCATACTCCTTACGCGTTTTTCAAAAATAACACATACACATAAACCATCTTATTTTTACTTAAAAAAAACATCCCAGAATTGCACAAAAATGGCATTGCACCACACTCTTTACTATATCCATGTACACTGCTTTTTTCCTCATAAATTAGAAAAATTTCACGAAAATACATGACAATTTTCTCAATCTTTAAAACCCGGTAAAAAGAACATATATGAAATTACCTGATCGCGAAAAAAGTATTACCCTTTACAAATATGAACATTTCCACATATAAAATAAATAAAATATCCAAAAACTTTTACCTCTAAATCATCTATTACATTATACACGTCACCAACGAATTCATACCGCAAGCATTAAAATACTTAGTATCAAATATTTAAATTATTTCCATGCAAGTTTTATTTCAACTTAAACGTATACCAAATTCCTACAAACATAAAATTCACAAAATAACTATCATTTAATTAAAATATCACTAAACCATGTACACGTCGACTTATTTTTACTTAAAAAAAAATCCCAGAATTGCACAAAAATGGCATTGCGCACACTCTTCACTATATCCATGTACACTGCTTTTTTCTCATAAATTAGAAAAATTTCACGAAAATACATGACAATTTTCTCAATCTTTAAACCCGGTAAAAAGAACATATATGAAATTACCTGATCGCGAAAAAAGTATTTACCCTTTACAAATATGAACATTTCCACATATAAAATAAATAAAATATCCAAAAACTTTTACCTCTAAATCATCTATTACATTATACACGTCACCAACGAATTCATACCGCAAGCATTAAATACTTAGTATCAAATATTTAAATATTTCCATGCACGTTTATTTCAACTTAAACGTATACCAAATTCCTACAAACATAAAATTCACAAAAAAACTATCATTTCATTAAAATATAATTAAAAATTCAAAAAAATACTTAAAATATAAATGAGCACATACATTAAATTAATAAAAATTACCTTACAATCCTAATTACTTTAAACTAAATCATTGCTAATAACCAATTTTCCCAATAATACCAAATTCCTTTCCACCTTACATTTAGAACAATGCATAAAAATAATATCCTCAAAATAATTAAAAATACTAACTTACCTAATCTTCTTCAGAATCTTGATTATGTGGCGGATACACTTTTTTAATTCATTCAATAAAATTATTGAAAGATTTTTCTGCGAATTTTTCCTCCATACTTCCTCCGCTAAATAAAAAGCAAACTTCTCTTTATCACAATGCCTAAATACCCATTTCGAATTAACTTTAGTTAGGGCCATGGGATCCAAAAATTAAACAACACTGTTTCACACAACACAGAATAAAGCTAAATACAAAATTTCCACATTTTTTCCCGATTAAAGAACCGTAATTCGTCCATTAATATCACATGACATATCCCATGATCTCTCATTTCCCTCACGCAAAATAATGCGTAATCGGAACTGAGTACTGCTCACATTATTACCAAAGTCCCAGGTAGTAAACTTTATCGCCTCCAAAATGTCGCCAAACTACCCAGTTACCATATTGTAAAGATCAACCGTATTTTTAGTAATTTGTAATAAAACGAATGAAACATTTACCAAATACAACACAACATATCATTCATTTATGTACAATATATATTTCACCCACTGCATTTGTATTTTAGTATTAAACAGAATAATAATACAATCTGATTTTTTATAAGAACGGATTAATTATTTTTCCTTCATTTTTTAATGGAAAACTTCATTTGGTATATATCCAATGATCTGGAATGGATTAATGACATATACTGAGGTACCACTATTTCTGTACTTTTTCTTTTTTCCTGAAAACAGTAATAAAAACAATTTTCTTAATACTGGTACCAGCAGGAAATGAAGCCAGCATCCTAAAACATAAGAGTCTAGAAATTCGAAGGTTTGTTTGCTAAATTTTGTTAATATTAGAATCAGTTAGTAATGAAGCCAGCATGCTAAAATAGAGCAATCTAGAAACTCTACAGTTTATTAGCATATATATTAAGAGGCTGCTGATATATAACCCATTAAATATTTTATGAAGCAGGATTTACTCTTCCATACACAGAATGAAACTATGCATTTAAATACTGTAATTGAAGTTTACAAAAACTGCTAACTGCAAAGTAAAATCTTATTCCTAAAAACTTGAATTTCACAAATAATGTACCAGGGCTATTGGAATGTTTCCAGACTTTACGAGACAACAAGTTCTGCATTAATAATCAGAATCTCCTCCTCTCCCTTAAAAATACAATAAGCCTCTTTTCATTGTAACTATGTTTGAATTAGGCAAAAACTAATGACTATTTCCCCTGAATAGATCTTGGCTATTATGTTTAATTTCATGCCCAAACAAGTATTTGAATAAGCAATCTGCTGGATTTTCTCTGTGAAGATCACTTCTTGGTAACTTTATTTTTAGAAAAGACTAATAATACATAAGTAAGGAATAAATTACACATGCAAACAGGGCACAGAAGAATGATGAATATTAGAATACTATGTATGTATTGTAAACAGGAATGAAAGAAAATGAGAGGAATGCTTGCTATCTCTGAACAAGCACATTCATGGGATTACCGGCTTTTAACTGTTATTGCCATCTCTCTGCAGTAGTACTTTCTTTCTAATAAAAGTAACAAATTAAAACAAATGTTTCTATAAATGCAAATAATATATAACAGTCCTTATTTTGCTACTTGATACATATAATTAAAGGATGCTAAAATATTCCAGGGGCGTAGCTAGAGGGGGGCAAGGGGGGCATCTGTCCCCGAGCGCAGAATCCAAGGGGCGCCAAAGTGATGTTACGACATTTTAGAATTAAATGTTTTTCATCCTTGGCAAGCAGTAGGGGGTGCGAAATCTTCAGTTGTCCCTGGGCGCTGAAAACCCTAGCTATGACTCTGCAATATTCCCTAACTTGTTGGAAGACAAAGAACCAACAAACTCTTTATAACCTCTTTTTCAACCTCCTTATAACGACTATTTATTATAACTATTATGAACTAATTTTTATGAACATAAATCTAAGTTAAGGCCTCTATGACCTATTGCTCAAGTAACATCCATGGTAGTGTTTTTCATACTCGCTAAGTTATAATGATTTAGGTTATATTTATTGCAAAAGGAAGCTGTTAGCTAATGCTAAAACGTTCTCCATGAATAAACAAAACCCAAAGTACTTTTGTTAAATTTACACGATTTTTAATAAACCACTTGAATAAAATAAAACTTGCTGATGTTTGTAATGATATGGAATAAGTTAACACAGTTTAGATAGAAATCAGGAATTTACTTAGGGAACATAAAATGAATTTAGTTTAATTCCAAATAAAATGTTTTAAAATTTCCTGCGACTGAGTTAAGTTATAATACAAAGTTACATTTCTTAAAACATCACTGAATATATCTAATCGTGGGGGAAATATTACAAAAATTTAAACCCAGAAAATAAGTTAATAACTGAATCCTATTGAAAATGCAATCTGATGCTTCAAGTAGGCAAAAAAATTAATAATCTAAATAAATAAATAAAACAAAACAAAACATACTCGCCGCTTTACTTCAACAACTAATCAGTTGAAAGTTGTTGACAATGAATCCATGTTGCCAAACTATGAAATTTCATTTTTGTTCTGTGGACTGTGCACATTTCTTACTTTTCAGCTTAATGATAAGTTTTATTGTATTGTATTGTGCATTAATTTTTATGAATTTCTGTGTAATTCTTTTTCTCAGTATAATAACGAAGGAAAATAAAAACAGGACATCATTATTTATGCACGAAGTAGCTAATAACATCAGAGATTTATATTAGGACAAGCCTACATGACACATTGTATGTACTGTACATTGTTTTTCGCACATTAGGTTACTTCGCGCTTGTCCTTCATCTTCTTACTTAGGCCCATAAATATTTTTTCCTATATAGTCTAAGGATTATTATTATTTTTTTTAGCCCAGTTTTTTTATCTGGTTTTCTCTAAAAAAAATTGCCCCTTTTCCTTTGTATTCAAGCTTAATTTTTCAACCTCCAGGGAGAAAGACTTAGCAGGTGCAAAGCAAAACATATGTCTACTTGTCTGTCTATTAAGAAATTATGATGAGTCGTTAAATTCATTTGGAAAAGCCCTTGTTACGTAAATGGCTAGCAGTAGCAGAGAAAGAAAAAGATTAAAATCAAAAAAGAAAGGAAAAGAGGATGAGCGTGTGCAAGTTTTGAAACATTATGATACATTGTAAGGATTCAGCATACCATTTTTGTTAATATTTTCTTCATCCCGTACACAAAGATCTAATTTTCATTTTTTTATATGAATCAAAGCGTAGTTTCTTGAAACAGAGAAATATTAATTGTTGTATGCATAATAATTTTTTAATGTGAATATTCAAAATATTTTTATGTTAAGTGTTGAATATAAAGTCATTATTGGTTGGTAATTAGCAGTAGTTCATATATAATATTCGAAAACCTAAGCCTTTTTCTGACTAAGTATTCATATAAAAATGTAATGTTAGAGGAAATCGAAAGTAAGTATGGAATAAAAACTGATTTCCTCTGTAAAAACTTTTTATTGACAAATAAAAGTGAAATTTTTTAAAAATTGCTTTAGGTGAATTTAGAAAGTTAAGTTTTAAATGAATTATCAAAGAAACGGGTTTTCATCCGCAGAGAACCCATTGGCGCTGTTGCATTTTTACTCGCCAAGCTTGGATGAGCCGAGTTGTTAACGTGATTTGTAGGGTATGTAAATTCAAGTTAGCAGACAAAGCAATATATTAAGCATATGGTAGTAAAACTCCACAGATGAGAAGCATGTAGATGTAAAACTAACCGGTTAAACATGATATATGGAAATAAATTTGCCTTTCCAGTTAGCACAGAAAACACTACATTTCTTACACCAGCAGTGGTTTGCTAATTTTGATGACCATAGGAATGCATCAAACTATTCTGGCACAGCTTTAGTATTAGTCCTTTTTGGCGAGAAATTTGTTTGGCGACATTTTGGAGCGATAAATGAAACATTATGATAACCTTGGTAACCCTAAATACTGAGCTTCAAACATGCCGCCATTTCTGTCCACGTAACTTTAACGAATTTAGGTATCAGAGCTTTGAGGCAGGAGGGATAAATTGTGTGTGTTTTCTAAAGTTACTTTTTGTGTTAGGAAAGCATAACATTTAAAATATTTTTTAAAAAGCCAAATTTTTAGTTAAACTGGACTTTTTAATATTACATCACATGAGTCTTGACATTTTTCATATGTCAACTCGCATATTTTATAAACTCCACCCCCTAAGGGAAAAAAAAAAAAAAAAAACATTTTCAGTAGCATGAGGTAAACTCTTGGTGTTTCCTTTGCTAAGGAGATCAATTACCATGGTCTAAAAATACTTATTTACCTCATATTAGAACTATAGGGAGTGTAATTGCATGAATTCATAGGTTTAAATCAGGACCAAAATCAGGTTTCATTATTGCTTTTATAACATTTTCATAATTTGTTGACTATAAAAAATATAATGTGCTTAGATTATGGAATATATTGCTTATTATTTCGAGTTCTCAATTTTGTAAGCTTACAACCTAACAGCTGTATATGAACAACCTTCACTGAGTATTATTACTTTTTATTATAGTATGTTGACATAGCGTCACTTTTATTTTAAATTTAAGCAATTTTTTACATAAAATTTATCTAACAGAAAAAGAATTTTTGTAATAAAACTGTATAATAAAAGTAAGAGACAATATATAAAAATTTGACTACATGGCAAGCACTTAGATACTTTCAATATCTTTAAATGTAATTCTTATATAAGTTTAGATATTATTAAGATATACTCTTATTCTATTATAAGTTTAGAGTACAGAACAAAGGCATGGTTTGTGCTTACGACTCAGTCAACCCTTGTGGCAAGATAAACAATTAAGTTCAAACGTAAAATTTAAATTCAATAAATTTGTAACCCAAAAGCTGCACAAATCATTTAATGCAAAGTTGGTTAAAACTAACTGGCATGGAATTCAAACTATCAGCAATTATAAAGGCAAGGTGAGACTACAAATCTTTCTTATCTAGCAACCTATTAATGTGGCCCAAAAGGCAAAACACGGTTTGTTTTCCAAATTAAAAACTTCATTTGGATTCAGGGAAATGAGAGATCATGAGATATGTCATGTGATATTAATGGACGAATTACAGTTCTTTAATCGGAAAAGGGGGGGGGGAATTTGGAAAAATATCTGTGGCAGTATATTATTTTATATTAAGCTTCATTGTGTGTTGTGTGAAGTAGTGTTGAATATTGTATGATGCTGTCTAATATTATTTTAAAGATCCCGAAACAGGTGCACATACCAATACAATAGAGGGCACTTGGAGTGCTATAAAAAGCGCCATTCCGAGCATTGTGATAAAGAGAATTTTGCTTTTTATTTAGCGGAGGAAATTGGAGGAAAAATTCGCAGAAAAAATCGTTCAAAATATTTTTATGATCAATTAAAAAAGTTAGTTTTTTTATTTTTATATTTTTGTTGTTTAAATGTAAGGGGAAGTAAGTAATTTGGTATTTTGGAAAACTGTTTTAGCGTGATTTGTTTAAAGTAATTAGGATTGTAGCTAATTTTTATTAATTTAATGTATGTGCTTATTTATATTTTTACGTAGTTTTGATTTTAATTATATTTAATTAAATATGATATTTTGTGAATTATATTTTGTAGAATTGGTATATGTTAGTATTAGAGTAAACATGCATGGAAATAATTTAAATATTTGACATAAGTATTGTAACCATTGTAGTTTGCGGTAGAATTAGTTGGTGACGTTATAATATAATAGATAATTTAGAGGTAAAGTTTTTGATATTTACTTATTTTACGTGGAAATTCATATTTGGAAGGGTATATACTTTTTCGCGATAGTATTCATATATGGTCTTTTACAGGGTTTAAAGATTCAGAACAATTGTCATGCATTTTCGTGAAATTTTTCTAATTTATAAGAAAAAAGCAGTGTACATGGATATAGTGAAGAGTGTGCCCATGTCATTTTTGTGCAATTCTGGGATTTTTTTTTTTAAGTAAATAAGTTGACGTTACATGGTTTAGTGATATTTTATGACTGATAGTTATTTTGTTAATTTTATGTTTGTAGGAATTTGATACGTTTAAGTTGAAGTAAACGCATGGAAATAATTTAATATTTGACAATAAGTATTGTAATGTTGCGGTATGAATTCGTTGGTGACGTTTAATAATATAAGATATTAGAGGTAAAAGTTTTGGATTTTACTTATTTATACGTGGAACGTTCAGATTTGGAAAGGGATATACTTTTTCGCGATCAGGTAAGTTCATCTATGTTTTTACAGGTTAAGATTCAAAAATTGTCATGTATTTCGTGAAATTTTCTAATTTATGAGAAAAAAGCAGTGTAATGGAATATGAGAGTGTGCGCAATGCCATTTTTGTGCAATTCTGGGATGTTTTTTTAAAGTAAAAAGAAGTCGACATAATGTTTATTGTTATGTTTTATTCTGAAAAACATGCAAGGAGTTTGCTATTGTGCACTTTTCCCAATTTTGCCAGTGAATATTGTCATTGATTAAGCAGTTTGTTAGAAAAATTTCTAGCATAAGTATAATTTGGCTAGTAGATGTTGGAAAAAGGTTGAGTAAAAAAGGAAAGAAACCTCTTTACTTTGTGAAAACAAAATGGCGCCGGAAAAAAAAATAGAGGGTTGCTGTAGCAGAGTTTGTTGCCAAATTTTCGCCAAAAAATCGCCAAGTTACCATAATCCAAAGATCAACCAATAAAAGCATTACTTAATGCACATGCACATTTTTACGGCCTACGAAAACAAATTATTTTAGTGGTGGGAAACCTCATGGTTCTGCGTGCTTGCAGCTGTTAATAATTAAGAACACAACGTGAACAGCCGTGTTACAAATTAGCATTCATCTCTCTATATTTTCTTTCTTTCATCCTGAACCGAGAACCGGCATCTATCTATGAAAACTTCTTTAATTATACAAAAATATTTCTATCTATTTGCTGTTAAAAAATTCAGAAAAAATAATGTGGAAAATCAGAAAAAATAATAAATAAGAGAAGAAGAATATAAATCAGCAAATGCGAACAACGACAGTGATAATCCAACAAAATGAACGCAAGAGGAATGGTTGCAACCTTCGAACAAGCAAATAGGATGAATCTGCTGCGTTACCAGGTTTGAACTATTATCGCCAAAGTTGGCAATTTTTACATTTACCGGGTTCTCTGCGGAAGTGCTTCCAAAGAAACTGCACCATCCAGATGGTACAGTGGTTAGGGAAGCCTGTTTCAGTACCAATCGAATTCTGTAGAAATAGTTCGAATACTGTAGAAAGCATGAACATTATTTCTAAATGTAAACAGTCAAAAGGTGTTAATTCGGACACCCATAATCCGGAATGATCTATAATCCGGACCTCAAAGCTACAAACTTTCTGCTCATGCGTCGCATAGGCATTTACGCGTGCGCGTAAGACCTACACGGCTGCGAATATGCGTGTGTGCATGTGCATAATACGTTTATGCATGCGCGTTTATTGTATAACCGACGGTATAAGCTAAGCTAAAATTATTAATTCAGTTAATGTTGCAGATTGCGTTGTTCCTTAATCTTCGAATTAGATCCGGCTTTATTTTTTGCAGACTGTTAGAGCAATTTATAAAAATAGCTTGAATTTCGATTATGTCAAATAGAATTCTGATATTATTTACTAATATGTAAAGGATCTACAAAGCGAAAGTATGTTTCGAAGTCCATTAACAAAAAGTGGAATTGCTGCAAAAAATGGATAAAGGCATATCATTTATTTTCTTAACCATTCCGAAAATCTGTTTATCAATTTACGCTGCTCTGCGGCGGGGAGGGGAGGAAACGCCGCGGCGGCGCCAATGAATTGGAAGTTATCTGTCAGCACTATCCTTATCTTCAGGGCAGATGTTTTTTTATTTTATTTGGCTTATAATTCCTTCCTAAATTGTAGTATTCATCTCGATGTACTCTGTCTTGCTATGATTTAATCAGTTCCTCGTCATTATAATTCACTTCTGATAGTGAACAAAGTGACCAGAGGTTATTGAAAAACGAAAAATTTCGATTGACAAATTAGTTGGTATTCTCGACACAGATAGGAGGACTGAACAGCGGAACTTGTGTACTAAACAAGAAATTATGTTCT